CTCATCCCCCATGTCATGCACAATGTCCAGCTAGTTTAAAGATTCAAAATTTATATCTACGCAATACTTGCACGTGCTTATGTTTATCCTAACACGTGCCAAACTAGGCTAAACTGCTCCATTTTAAAGGCCTAACAACTTGGGCTTCAAAGTCCAAACTCCACAATTCAACCCAAATGACTCTTTTTCTGAGCCCAAAAAACGACCCTCTCGGCCCATCCTCTGAAAATTTTTCATATTCGAGAAACAAAAACTGTTTTACAATTTGCATTGTACGCTGTTGATTTTATAAAATTATTTAAATATTTTTAAAATAATAATATAAAAATATTTAAATAATTTTACAAAATAAATTATTATCATGTAAAATAGTTTTCCGTTCGAAAAAATAATAAAATGCCCTTTTAACCATTAAAAACAAAGAAACAAGCGGCGGAGTTGAAAACTTTTCCGTGACTACTCTTAGTCTCCGACACCAATCCACGCGAATCCCGCGTCCAGACAAAACTGTTTTTCGCTTTTCTTTAAACGTCACCGCTTTGCTTCAATCGCTTAATCCAATTCAGGGAATTCACTTCTCCACTCTTGACACCTTTTTAAAGTTCATATATATGCTGTTTTACAATCAAAGACACATTACGGCTCCCCACATGGCCTCTACGGACAGACTCGCCACCGCCACCGCCACCGCCATCGCCGGATATTTACCCTTGATCACCTTGATCATGCTCATTGCCGAGGCGAGGGAGCTACGGCCGTCCAATCACGGACTGGAGTACCAGGTCCCTCCGCCGACGGGACAGAAATCGCCGCCGGAGATGATGTCCTTTTTCGGAAACACGTCGTCGTCCACGCCGTTTAACATGGCACAGCCGAGGGCCATGAATTCCAGCGACTCGTCGTGGTGGGAGAGCGGAAGCGGAAACGGCAGCGGCGGCGGGATCGGTCGTGGTGGTGATCGGTTGAGGCACGTGCTGCTGGTGGCGAGCTTGGTGTGCGGCGGAACAGGTGCGGCATTGCTGGTTGCTAGTGCTTTTATTCATCTTTATAGGTACCAAAAACGAAGATCATCATCATCCAATCACGACAACAATGCTAATAATAGTATAGTAATCAGAAAGTAAAGTTGGTCTACTAAGGTTTTTTTATTTTGCCATTTTTTATTTAATATGTAGTAAGACAGAGTGGTTTAGAAGTTTTTCTTTTTATCACTTATGTCCAGACTCCAGAGGTTTTTTTTTGTCAAGTCTCCAGATTTCTTTTCTTGAAGTTCAGTGCTTTGATGGTCTAATAGTATATACAAGAAATGTGGTGTTGATGATGAACTATGATTAGTTCAAAATTAACTTGTAACCTTTTTTTTTTTTTAATTTATGTGAGTGTACCTTA